TATATATATATGTATATATATACACATTGACAAAATACAATGAAATTACACACAATGCCATATTCCTTAATGGGAAGCTTTAACATGCATTACATCAATATTTTTGTTTTTGTTGCTGTTTGTTTGATGAAAAAAGTTACAAAAAAGTCCAGATATGAATTTTTTTTATTTAATTTTGCATTTTCGGCAGTTTTTTTTTTTCAAAGGAAATCAGAAAAACTGAATTAATACATGCTAACTTGAAAGTACTGTGTATTTATGCTTACAAACAAAAACATCTAGAAAGTTACCTGAATTTTACTTAAGTTTTAGTGTTACTTGTACTGAAAAGTGTTAAATAACACAAAGCAGGAAATTACCTCCAACATTATTTTTGTACGTGCTGTAGATCTCTTTAACTCTGCGGTATCGGAAAGCCAGTTTCCTCATCCAGTCGACCCCTCCATGAACCCCTGAGCCCAGGCTTAAAGAGCCCGCTCCTGCTGGGCTCTGGAAGCCATCGGACCCAAAGTTGTAAGTGCTGCCGTATCAAAATGTAAAAAAAATATTCATTAAATACAATATACAAGCACACATCTGAGGGCAGGTGATGCTCTTATTGTCATATCTCATTTTTTTTGGCTTTTTAGATCTGATGTAAGTGATGAAAACATAAACAGTGGAGGGGGAATGTATCACTTTTAGGAAAGTGTACTACTGAAAACACTTTAGGGTTAAGAAGAACCCCTTACTAATGAAAAAACTGGTTAAAATACAATAATTATGTAAAGAATTGCAAGAATAAAGGTAAAATTATACTTTTGTTGGATGTAACTGGGACCCTGTGTACACAATTCTGTTCCACCACATGTACCACATATGATGTGAATGACAATAAATAAAGTTTGACATGAAAAATGATCCTTAAATGGAAAAGGTCAAGTTCAGCAAAATAAAATTGTAATAAATTATTTTGGTGCTCCCTCTCCAATCCCACCTGAAGGCATCCTGAAGCGCTCAAGCTAGTTAACATAATACACATACTGTATCTAAACATGAGGATTATGTAAAAAAAAATTAAAAAATGGAATGAGAAATATACTTTTTAGAGAAATAAATTTACTGGATAATCCTTTGATATCCTATTCACTTGTGGAAGTGGAGTTACAAAAATTGTGCAGAAACTTGAACACGCATGTTAGAAAACACAAACGCTTTCGCTCCTCGTTTCATCTCTTAGCTGTTCTCCTCCGTTGCTTTAAAAGTCAGAGGGCAAGTCTGGTTCACAAGTTACAAAAGAACAGCCCGAGTCACTCAGCGGAGCTCTAAGTAAAGTAACAGTAGAGGTTCACCTCAGGTCCTGTCCATTGTCGTCTGATGCCACGTCATCAATATGAACTTGGTCACATTCCTGGGAAATGAGAAGGAAATCGGATATTTGAACAGATTCATTTTAGAGCGAAGGCCTTCGCAGGCAGGTCTTTCCTCTGTAGGTGAGCCTCAGAGAGTGACAGATCATCAAAAATGAAAAAGGAACATGAATTAAAGACGAGGTGCCAAACACTGAGCTGCCAAAGGGAATTCAAATTTAAATGGAATAATTGTGCAACTGTAAAGTCAATTCAATTAAATATGCTTTTTATAGTGCATGCCATTAAAAGCAACTGAGAGGTGCAAATCAACAAGAGGTGAGAAATAAAACCACTTTGTTGCCACAGCCAAAACACCTCCAGCAGTTTGAAGATACATCTACTTTACAACAGTTCATTTAAATGGGCTATGGTGAAATAAAGCAAACATTAGTCATGATAAACCACAGAGAAAAATCACACAAAGTCACGAACAACAAACTGCCTGCTGTTTGATTTTATCCATACATCAGTTTCGAGGCTCTAAATCCAACAACCATCAATGCACACATGCTGTTTGAAAAAAAACAAGAGTCTTGGTATAACATGTAACTGTCATGCAATAGACAGACAGGCTCTCCTATCACATTTCAGTCACCCAGACAGAGACGCTACCTCATCGCCCTCACATTGCTGCATAACTCGCTTCCCACTGGCCAGTCGCCACGTCCCATTCAGGTGGGATTTAAACCATCAGAGCTGCAACTACTGACCCTTGGATGTAAATGACCACTTTGTTCCTGAGCATTGACACTGACAAATATCGCCATATAGTGATTGATCTTTATAATCAAATCAACCACAACATTCAGCCTTTTTATTTTTCAGACGGCCATACATGCTTCTTGGTTTTTGGTGTTATAGCTGTAACACATGTAGGCTTTTGAGAAAAGTAAGTAGAAGATAATTGAGCCTCAAGATGCAACAGCAGGAGCTGTCAGCCTGCTGTGAGGTACTCTTAAGGGATTTATTCAGTCCTAACTACAAAAGAAAGGATAAAACCTGAGTTTGCAAATGGCTTTGTTGGCTCCTTTCCCTCTTTCTGACTGCTTCTCCTCCCATCGGACTAATTTTCCTTTTGGATACTCAGACACACACCTACAATTACAACACAAAGTTTTCTTGTTCTGTTTTTCTGTGCTCCTTTTTAATCTTTATCCCTTTTGTTCAAACAAGACAGAGGAATGTGTGGGTAAAAAAAAAAAAAACCTTGCAGTGTTCAGTCACTATCAGCTACTAAAACTGCATTTTCCCCCCAGTGTCATCACTTTTAGCATCAATACCCATATTAGATTAGGTGAACTTCTAGTAAAGCACATTAGGTCTATCTGTGGAGCACTTATTCCTGCAAAAATACCCTTTTAATATTCTTCCTGTTCTTCCTCTCCAGGAGGGAAAATTACTTAGAAACTGCTGTAGGGAGAATTCTGGATAGATGTTGCATGAATGGGTTCCTACCAATGACATTTTGCTTTATGCCAAGTGGAAAGACAGAACCCAAATATCAAACCTTGCAAGAAACTGTGACAAGGAAGGTTTTCTGGTTACGCAAGCTCAGTGCTGGATGTGTTTCATAAGTTCCAGTTTTCCAGCTTACTGGAAAAAGTTTCACAATAAATAATAATAATAATAATTAAAAGATTCATGAGGAAAATGCGGATGCGGTTATGTCAAATGTTTGAGTGAAGTACGCCATCCTGTTTGAAACGGATACTAATTGTAATGAATACACAATTCCTGCAGGTTTCTAAATTTGCACTAATTTGTTGCAAATTAACTTTATCGCTCACCTCCAGGTCGTTGAAGAAGAGTCTTGAGTCGGCTAGGTTGAAGATCATTTCTTCCATCCATAAACCCAGAGACACTGCCTTTGAGGAGTCCTGATGAACGGAATAAAGAAAGGAGAATTAACAGTGTTTGATCATTTCTTTTGTTCTGATGCTACGAACAAAGCAAAAAGACACGGAAAACAACTAATATCCTTTCAGCACATTCAAAATGTTGTGTACACTAGATATTATTTTTTTGGTACATCTCAAAATGTGCGCTCACTGTGGACGTTTAAGTCTTAAGACTTGTTCAGTATAGTAACTGATTTTCCAGTGAAGTGGTTTGTAATCCACTAATGTGATTTGACCAAACAAACACAAAAACAAAAAAACTAAAGCAAAGCTCTGTCACACAAATGGTAGCACCCTTTTCAAATAGATAAATCAAAAGTAAAAGCATCAGCTTAATCTGACACTAATTGTTTGCAATGTTTGGCATGTAAAGAATTATCAGTTGAACTTAATTATTAAACATCAGTCCTCTTGACATCATGTCAGAGCAGCTGCCTGCTTTTCATTTAACAGCTTCCTGCTCATCAAGCTGACTGACATGAACAGGTTTCTGGGGAGGTGACTGAATATGTATCTGTCAATCACACTTGCTGCCAATTTTATCTTTATCATAGATTCACTGAAAAAGTTTGGCAAAGGTTCCCATCTCCTCTCTGTTGAGCTCTGAAGTCATTAGTGTTAGCTAATGTCTGAGACCGTTTGAAACCATATTGACTTTAATCATCTCAGCTAACTTCTAAAAAAACATGATTTTTTTTTTTGAGCTGAACAACTAATTGCATTTGCAATAATATCGCGATATGATAAAACAAGATTTTCTAATCGCAAAGGCTGCAATTTGACCGGTCACGTGATCTGGTTATGTCACTTGCGAGTGAGCGGAGCGAAGCAGATTAGGGGGCGGGAGAAGTCAACACTGCGCTTTAACCGGTAGCACAATGGCGTCAGGGTCAACAGAAGCTGATGCATCTGAAAGTTTGGTACCAAAGAGGGGCAGCATGACCATTGTTTGGAATTATTTTGGCTATAATAAAAAAGACGCTGTGAAATGTCATGTATTGTGCAGAACCTGCCTTGCTGCTGTTGCTATCTCTCAAGGTAACACCACAAATCTTTATTAACACTTCAAAAAACACCACAAAGCTATTAACCATAGTTGCATGGCTAGAACGCCAATGACCAGTGCTTCAACTGTATTCAACTTAAAATAAGCAAAGTACCAGTCGACAGGGATCATTGACTGAACTGTTCTAAGATACTGCTCCGTATGAACATAATTCGAAATGGCACGTGCAAATAACTCGAGCAATAACGGAGTTCATAATGAAACACATGATGCTCATTAATATAGTGACCAAGCCTGGGACGGCTTTGGTAAACACAATGGATAAGCGGTACAGAATGCCCTTGCGCACATATTTTAGCCAAGTTGCTTTTCTGGAGTTACACAAAAAAATGCAGAAAAAAGTTGCAGTGGAGCTGGAAACTATGAAGTTTTGTTGCAACTGAAACAGATTGATTTATTGTTTGTGCTTGTTGAAAAATACATGAGAAGACATTGAAAAATAATTGCATATTAGCAGGAATTGCATATTAAATCGCAATTGCAATATTGAGGTAAAAAAAAAAAGACAATTAGAATACTTTCCAAAATCATTCAGCCCTATTTTTAAATTGTATTAATATGCTATACTTTATGACACTGAGCTGTGAGACCAACAAAGAAACCAACACAGCAAGTGTAAACTCATTTGAATCCACTTACAACTTTAACCACCATGAACTCACAGTTGTGCTCAAATGTCATATTCCACATCTCCAGCTCTAAAATCAAAGTCCCACAAGGTGTAAAATAAGAATAAGTTGATGCTGTTAGAAAAAGCTACTGAGGACATCACCATGTACTGTCGGTCCATCTAAATTGCAGACATGCATGGTATGATGCCACTTTAACAATAGCATTAACAATAAATTGAAGTTCTTGCAGAATATTCATTTCCATTTTAAAAGATTGTAATATAAATGGAAATAATTCAATAATTAATAAGCAAAGATGCTAAAATATTAACAGAATAATATCTAGAAAGAGCAGACAGTGGATTTCATTCCTCAAGAGGAAGTACCATTTCAACCGGTTATTCAAATAAAACAAACTTCTTACTTATCACCACCCAGACTCAATTACTTTGTTTAATTTTTCTCACATAAAAAAAGATAACCCTGCAAACAGACAGGTGTTGCATTACAGCAGCTTCAGGTGACAAGTTTAAAATCAAATATTAAATCATCGCCCACAGAAAACGGAGACATCAAAACACACAGGCTGACAAACAGCCTGGGCACGCAGTTGTTTGAGGATGACAAAAGCAGGTGTGTGAAGGTGTGTGTAGAGCATTGTTTTAAAGCCAACCCTGGCAGCGAGATAGAAACAGAAGAGAAGTGTCAGCCAAAGGTGAGCGTCACATTTTAGCATTTGCAATGGCACGCAGAGGCTTTCTTTTGGCTCATAGTGGGAAAAAATAAGGCTTGATGACACAAGTAGGGCAATTACAACGTATTCCTTTCCCGAAATGAGGTAAAAAAACTGAAGTAATTAGAGACAAAGGGCATCAAAGGTTCAGTAATATCAATGAGACAAGGGTTAAAGGTTTAAAAGAGGCTAAAAAGTGAAATAATGATGTGTAACAATTTATAACTTAAGATCAAATTTGATGCAATTAAAAGCTTCTTTTTTTAAACTCGATAAAGAAAAAAAGATTAAAAAAATACATCATATCTCACCTTCACTCTCATGCAAAGAATTTACTTTATATAAAATACAGCTGGGGGAAGAAAATTCACATAGCAGAGGACAAGCTGATGTGTTGTATGATAAATGAGATAATAGCTGAGATGATATTGGAGGAGGGGGTCGGTTCCTTGCCTCACAAAGCCACGGGAAACAAGTGTCTTTCAACACACACTCGACGACTCTTTCTTGGACTGGGCCCAGTCTAGCTGTTTAGATCCGAATATTTTTTTATTGATAAAAGTTTTTCAGGATGACTCAGTGAGTGTAGCTAAAAAAAATGCAAAAAGGGAAATGGAGATTTATGAATACACACATTAATCTTGAAAAGGTAGACTAATTTGCTGCCAATAGGAGAAGTGAAATGAAAAATTTGGAAAAAAAAGTGTTCTTTGCTTGTACATTGTATTAACGCGCTTGATTGTAAATGTGTTTTTCCACGGTCACTCCTTTAATCCCTCTGCTGCATGTCCGAGTTTTGATGTCAGAGTCTGTCCAGCTGAGCTCCCCTGGATCCAACAGTGGGGGTGGTTTCATGTGTTGGGAGGATTTTTTTGGCACATAAGTCTCATTTCAGCACATTCACAAAATCCAACTTTTATTTTGTCTCTCGCTCCCCCTGCTCAGCCCTCTCTCTGTGTGGCGGAAAAGAAAGAAAAAGAAACAACAGCATGCACAGCCTGCCGGGGGCTGATCTGATCAGCTACGCCGCTCTCAAACTCCCATCAGCCTTGTGTCAACCCACAAGAGGATCGTGAGAATTCAAAACACAGAACCTCGGCCAAAAACAAGAAACTCACCACTGTCCGCCCCTTGTCAGCTGCCTGTCTCTAATGTAAAGGTCCCTCTGACTGTCAGTCACGCTGCGGGTTGTCGGGGTAGCTAAACAACCCTTGTGCATTATGAAAAGAAACACGAGGGCAGAAGGCAAAACAGCCAGCGTGTGAAAATGTTCAGGGATGAGACCCAAAGGTGGTGGACTTTACTTTTTAGCCAAATAAGCAGCTGATCCCAGAGATACGAGGCTACGTCACTAATGTAAGATGATGCGTTTACTGTCAAAATTTGACAGCAAATAAATAGTAGTTTCATTCTTCAAAATCCACTGATGTGAAATGGTGCTTTGCTACAAAACTTTTTTTTTTTATTAACGTTAAATGACACGGTTGATGATCATACCATACCTTGCCAAATCTCGAGGAGAAAGTTCCCGTGAGGAGCGAATGGAAAATGATGATGGTTTCATCCAGATCCCAGATAAACACACGCTGCAGCGAAACAACAGATATGCACTTTAAACCACACAACAGATCATCTGTGTGCACGAGAGGGAAAGAAAGACAAACACTGTAGAGAAATGATAATTTCCAGCACTGTGTGAGAGCGTGTTTACCTCTATATCTGAGTCCAGAGGAGGAGCGGGGTCAATAACTTTTTTTCTTCCTCTCAACTTGCCATCTGATCCTCTCCTTGCTGGGATCACCTCCTCCTTACCTGGTGTTGGTGGACTGGGTGGTGGGTGGTAATCCCCTAAAGCAAACAAATCTCTGTAAAACATTTTGCACATGAACTACCATAGGTCTCTCTGTGATTTTAAACATTACAGTAGTCCCTCGTTTATCACGGGGGATCCGTACCCTTAAGCCCCGTGATAAGTGAAAAAACGTGAAGAAGGAATAGTAGTACAAGTAGTAGGTAGTAGTTAGTGTGTGTGTGTGTGTGTGTGTGTGTGTGTATATACACAAAGTATATATATAATTTATTTTTTTTGGGGGGGGGGTCTGGGTTTGTGTTTTGGGTTCTGTTTATAGCATTTATGATTCAATGCAATAAGACAAACAAATTTAAAAAACACCAGATCATTGTAAAACTTGGTTTATTTACATAATGACTTTAATCGCTGGATGTCCAACCCCCGAGTGATTGGCTTTCAGAAACTGTGGCCTCCTGAGCAGTTTTGTTGCATAGCCCTGCACTAAACGCTCTAAAAGAGCACAGCATGTCATGATTTCAGCTCTCTGTCTCGGCTGCACTCTGTCACCTGCAAGTGCTCTTGGCCACGCCCACTTCTCCACTCTGCACGGAGAACAGCTGATCAGCTGCAGGAGGAAGCTTATCCTGCAGTGTGGGCTGCACAAAAGGTGCAGGAGGTGCTAAATAATTTAAAATAATTTATTTTAAATAAAAATCCATGCCGATCGTGCGGCTCATCTATCAATCAGTCATTTGTGTATCATGTTCAATCTTACTTTGAAAAACTGCAATGGAGCGAGTCAGCAAAAAACAAACAGTGAAGTAGGGAGGGGTTTACTGAACTGCACTGTGGGAAGGAATCAATACATTTTAAAGTTTTTTCAGGAATTAATACAAAGAAAATCACAGTCAAGTTCTGCCTTTTTAGTCTGTCAGAGAGAGAGAGAAACATTGCTAAAATAATTGTAGTAAAGATAAAACACAGTTCCAACACAATGAAGCAGAACTGACAGGTAGTGCAATACAATCACCTATTAAAAAAAAATAATAATAAATAAAACTGCAGTTATTTTGTGTGACAGCATGGTGGCAGAGTAAAAAATATCCATAAATTGTATTTAAATATTGTGTATTCTGGAAATATTTTATTTTATTTCCATTTTTTTCTTGCTTATCCTGCTTTGGTGTTTTGTGAAGTTTATTCTTTTAGACATGCTGCGTCACAAAAAATTAAAGAAAGAAAATAAAGAAGCAACAATTCCATTTAAAATATATAAAAAAAAGACAAAAGAAGTACCTGTATGTGACTCCGGGCTGTGACTGGGCATCATGATGGGGTGCTCTGGGTGCTGATAAGCTAACGGAGCTGTGATTGTTGCAGGGCTGATGTTGCTGCTGGTTAGGTAGGGACTGTTGTAGTGATGTGAGTTATAATATGGTGAGTACTGACTCTGACTGTAGCTTGAATAGGCAGGAAACTCCTAACAACACAAAGAAGAACATGAGTCAATCAGTCGCAATGTCGGGTAACCATTATTATCATTATTTTATAAATATGGACCGTTTGCTCTATTTTTTTTCCCAGCTGAAGATAAACTGCTTTCTGAGTTTGCATTAGTCACCTGCTGGGTAGGATTGAATGTGGTTGAACTTGAGATTGCATGTGTCCCTTGAAATATTCCAGGTGAAATACCACCACCTGAGTAACAAAGAGGAAAAGGTTCAAAAGTTCAGTTATTAATAATGCACAAAGATACAAACCGGTGGCATTTTGGTCTCATTGTGCATGAGAGAATCTGATCTAACTTTGCTGCATCTGATCTGATCTATGACGCTGCGGAGGGGGAGGAAGTAGTGAATCTCTGGTTATTACCTTGATGACAGGTCAGAGCTGCAGGATCTTATGGTGGAATTTATGACTGACAGGACAATACAGGTGGGAAAGTCTGCTGTTTCTGCTCCTACTGCGAAAATCTTCTAATATGATCTAGCCAAGACAGGAATGTCTTCCTCCCAGCAATTTGTCCTCACCCCAAACCTCCTGTCAGGGAGGTCTGTTCTGTTTATTTGTCTGATAAAAAAAAAAAAAAAAAAATCCCTATAAACTTATAATCTCCATCCACGCTAAATGACATTTGTATTTAGTTTCAGTTATTTGTAACGGTTGGGCTGGATGATGGTACAGGTAAATGCCACTGTTGTCTCACAGCAAGAAGGTTCAAGTTTGAATCTTTGATACAGCTCAAGTGTTTGTGTTTTCTCCTCATTAATGTGTTGGTTTTCTCTATGTACTGTATTTTCGAGCATATAAGCCACACCTTTCTGCATAAATTTGCCAGTCCTGCAACTTATACATTGAAGCAACTAATATAAGTTTTTTCCCCATATTTATAACCCAATTTTTGACAGAGATCTGATGATTTCATTCATTCCGACATGAAAAATATTAAACATTTTCATTTGCAGCCACTGGCGGTGTGAGCCCTTGAGCCTTATGGCAAGCCAAGTGTCTCATTAATAGGTAAAAGTGGTTATTAATGAGACACTTGGCTTGTCATACAAGCCACCTTCATCCCCGCTCCAGAACTCCTGGAGCAAAGGTCAAATCAGCTGCATTTCGCCGTGCCACCCAGGTGAAATGCGGCTGATTTGACCATTAAAGTGCATTTATTAAGGCAAAATTAAACGGCCACAGACCTTTGCTATAATGTCGAGCAAACAAATAATTGTTTTTAAGTGTTAATCTTGTTAAATTCTTGTTAAAGTCCTCCCACGTGCGCTCCCGCAGCTGACATTTAGGCAGCCAATTCATTTTGGGCAAAACACCGGCCCACGTTTCTGGGTGTTCAGCGGTGACGCGAAACAAACGCAACCTGTCAGCGGTGACGCATAATAGATGTGACTTATACGGCAAAGCGACTTCTAAGTTTTTTTCCACTTTAGTAGTAATTTTTTGGACTGATGCGACTTATACGCGGAACGACTTGTACGTTGGAAAATACGGTACTCTGCTTTCTGATCACAGTCTAAAACAAGCATGCTGGGTTAACTGGTCATTTTAAATGTGTCAACATGTTTGTCTCATGTGTCGCTTTGTTGAGCCTGCATGAAGCTGACAACTTATCCAGAAAGAACCCCATCTGTCATCTGTTGACTGTGGGATACGACTAGTCTCCTCAGCCGCTCTGAACTGAATTTAGAAAGTATTAAAAAATGGAGGAAACAAAAATGTGAACATATGCTTAGCAGCTAGCTAGATATTATAAATGTGAAAAAAGCTATTTGCATAAAGCTGCAGGCCAAAGAGGAACCAACAGTTTTTTAGAGCAGAAAAGCAAAATAATTCATTGTGTGTAGCTTCCTGAAAAGTTCCACAGAAAACAACTCGTTACTGACTTATAGATGAAATTGTTATTAAAATTTCAAGGCATTTGGCCTCAAAACAAGAAGAGCGATAAACTTAAAGCAGTGTTTCCTGTTGCTGTGATTTATGACCAAAATACATTTTAGATAATCAGAATTTAACGCTTCATTTAAACAAATATAAATGATTCAAAAACAAAACCCTAAACATTAGTGGGATTTATTACTTGGATTGATTTTAAAAAATGTGTTACACAAAGGAACATTTAAAAAGTAAAACATCTAACTTGCCTTGACAGCGTGTGTAAACGTCATAAGAAGTCTTCAGTTATTAGACATCTTCTGTAGTCTATTTGCATGTTGGGCATATTAAGGATTGAATGTGTTAGCAAGAGGAAGAGTGAGATTCCTGCTGCCCTTTGGAAACACATCAAACATAGAAACTGGTTCTGCTTTACCCGGAATTGAAAACTTCTGATCATTTCACGCTGCAGTCGGAGGCGAAACACGAATGTGACAAGCATGCACTCATCACATCAGACGATTTTGACCTGAAGTCAATAAACATTTTTAACACAGCTATAACTGATCCATTTTCATTCAGAGCATAATCCATCTCCAGCTGTGGATCGGGATATCACACAGTCAGATATTGACATTGTTATCCATTTCATCAACTGACCGACACACACAAGACGATTCTAGCAGCTTTAGTTTCTGCAGAGCCACTCAACTGAAATAAGGGACGTTTTATAGTGAAACACTGTTAGAATTATACAGTTTAATGTACTCGTGCACATCTGTGGTCAGTCAGAATAAAATGATTAAAATAGCATTTGAGAATAAATGCTTGAATTCCACAAGCGTTCCACAATTTATTGATGGTACAGTTTTGCAACATAAACAAAACGTTCTAAAACGCATTTAAAAAATGAACATTTACCAGAAAGAGTCTAAACGCTGATCAGGATTCCAATGACAGGTTTGAATATTTTAACCAGTTATTGTATAACATGTCAATCTTCATTTCAAGTTTATCTGACTATAAATTTCTCTTGCCCTCTACTTTTTTTTTTTCTCCGATGCCTTGATGCAGTGGTTCTCAAACTGGGGTCCCCAAGTCAGTGCTTGTGGGTCCGCAAAAAATAGATAAATAAATTAATAAATAATTAAATAAATATATATATGTGTATATATATATATATGTCCGCAAAATATAGATAAATAAATTAATAAATAATTAAATAAATAAATATGTGTATATATATATATATATAT